CCGGAGGGATAGACCTAAACTTTGGAATGACTTTCCTTGTATCCTCTATCTATATGATCTGCTGTCTAAAGATGAGATAGAAGACAGATATTTTAGATGCTCATCCAGTGTCTTCTCAGATTTCTTCAATTCTTGGGTTTTGCCTATGTGATAGGCAGCAGGGCCACTTAAGGGGAATCAAATAGAAGCTCTGGCTATAAAATTTCTGAATAATTATATTAAAAAAAAATCACCACAGAGATTCAATAGCCAATATGAACAGACTAAAGAATCAGCAAACATGAATATAGGTCACCTGAGATTGTTCCTCCCAGTCTGAAGAAAAGAATGGAGAAAGATAGAGGGTCAGAGGTCATGGGCATTATCAATCACACCACCAACAGATGTGTAACGGAGTCTCAAAAGAAATGAAGAAAAAAGCGAGGGGAGCAGCTGAACAAATGTCTAAAGAATTTCTAAAAGTTAATAGAAAATATTTATCTACACATCCAAGAGGCTCAAAAAACTTCAAGTAAAGTCCATAACATCCCTAACTAGATACATAAAATCAATCTATGTTTTACAGTTCCTAATGCTGTGATGAAACAGCATGCCACAGGCGAATTAGGGAGGAAAGGGTTTATTTGGCTTGTGCTTCCACATCACTGTTCATCGCTGAAGGAAGTCAGGCAGGAACTCCAACAGGGCAGGAACAGGAAGGCAGGAGCTGATAGAAAAGCCATGGAGGAGTGCTGCTTACAGGCTTGCCCAACCTGCTTTCTATAGAATCCAGGAGCACCAGGTACCACCTACAATGGGATGGACCCTCCCATCGATCACTAATTAAGAAAACGCCCTACTGACTTGTCTACAGGCACAACTCATGGGGGCATTAAGGTTCCTTCCTCTCCATTATGTCGTGTTGACATAAAACCAGTCAGCACCACCTACCAGAGACAAAGAGAGCCTCGTGGAAACAGCAAAACCTACCTAGTATGTTCATTGACTCTTAGAAGAAGAACAGCTGAGTTTTGACAAACAGAGTTGGGAAGGCGGTGGGAGAAATCATGGTTATGGAATAATAAAAAAGTCAACTGAGAATTCTCCTTCAAAGTAAAAAAGTGAGACACTCCCAAATGAACAAAATAAGAGTGAATCTCTTACTAGAAGACCTGACCTCAGTACGTTCTAGACCTTCGAGAAGATACTAACTCAAATCCTCACAACAAAATAAATGAAAAATATAACTACTAATTGGATAGGCAATAGAAGTTTGTCTCATTGCTTATTTGTAACACTTCTTCCCATATCTTATTTGAAAGACACCATAAAAAGGAACAGTTACATATTTATGTTGGTCGGTATGTAATGTACAACGTCTTGAAGTGCCTAGAAAAGACCGGCATTGTTAAGAAAAAGCAGCGAAGTTCAATGTACTGTTAAAATTAAGTTGACATTGATTCTAACAAAGTTGCTATAATTTAATATTAAGAGTATTCTTAGAACAATCATTAAGAAAATAACTTCAAACACAGGTAAATGAATGACAAGGAACTGGAGTGATGCCCTGGAAACTGGATTGTGACATAAAGAAAGACATTTCAGAGCAACAAGACAAAGGATACATAGAAAGACAAAACGACAAACATAGATTTGAGACTATGAGTAGTGACACCAAATTTAAATAAACACTCCAGTCAAAAGGCAGACATTAACGAAGTGGATTTTATTACTCCTTCAAGGGCTCATGGACCAGCCAGAAAGAATGGAAGGGTTGGAAGACAGGCAGAAGTGCTTGACAATGCCTTCTTCTAAGCACAACGCAGTCATGCCAGTCATGAATGCACAGCAGCACCAATAGTTAGCCATGGATGGAAGAACATTTAGAGGGTCCCTAACTAACATCACTGCTGAAATGTTGGCATGTGACAGACCATGAGAGAGGAAGAGGCTCCGTATCCAGTCCTTAGTCCACTGGTGAGTCCCCCAGGCTTCGGTGGCAAGGCCCAAATCCATGGTCACACACGCAACCCAGGCTAAACTTGGTAGGACTTAAAACAAAAGGTCATGAATATGGGAAAGAGATTTGTAGGGACCAAGGGGAACTTGCAGGGACAGGAGGGGCAGACATGTTTAACATATTAAGAAGCTAAATTTGTGATCCAACTATATACTATCTACAATAGATACATTGGGTTCCAAAATGACTAAAACAATTGAATGTAAAGAATGGAGAGTTAAACGTCAGCCACATGAGAACTGGGGGGACACAAATTTGAAACAAGATAAAGTTTCTAGAGGACATTACATGATGATAAAAGGCAATCCATCAAGAAGAAATAACTATTATAAATACATCTAAAAACATAGCAAACCCCTGGTGGTGGGGGGACTAGCATAGCTAAAGGAAAATATAGATAATGCAACACTAATGGAGGCATTACTGCCATCCTTTTAATAAGAGAACACCAGACACAAGGTCCAGAAGAAAAGAGTAAATCTAAAACTCAACTAGACCTAACAAACATTTGCAGAGCATGGAACCCAACAACAGCACAAGGAACACATAATTCATCATTGTATTTTCTTTTACTAGCTGCTCTATTCACTAAAGCTATGAACAAAATCAATCTAAATGCTCATAAACTTATGAATGGATAAGAAAGATGTGTTACATATACATAACAGAACACTATATAGTTGCAAAAAATGAAATCATGAAATGTGCATGTAAATGCATCTAACTGGAAAAAATTATACTAAAGAATGTAACTCAGGCCCAGAGAGAAAAAGTCCATGTGTTCTATCTCATATGCCCACCTAGCTCATCTTTTGTTTTATGTATTTAATTTGGAGCACAAGAAGAAGACAGGAAACAAGAAAGGGACTTGGGGAGGAGGATAGTAGATTATAAATAATAATGCAAGTAGACAGGCAGAGTTCCCAGGACAAAATGGCTTAAACATGGAGAATAAAAGTGTAGAGGGAAGGGCTAACCTTAAGCAAGGTGTATAGAAAGCCATATTGAAACCAACCAATTTTTTAAGAAATGGAAGGGTAGAATGAAGGAGGAGTCAGGGACTAGGTATGACTTCCTCTTTACTCCTGCTGGAAGCCTTGTCTGGATTGATTACATGTGGGTTTCGCAGAAGGTAATGGCACTACAGTCAGTGAAAGTCAACATTGGAAGGACTATCTGTGCCCTAACTACACAAGCATAGCCTTGCCTCTTGGAGACAAAAGGCTGTGGACTGGCATGGTATGGAATCATTTTGATAGGTGCATTATAGTCTTTATCTACAATCTGACTCTCCTGGGGCACTGGTGTGGATCCATTTCTGGGCATTGATAGTCTTCATCTGCATTGTTCTAAGCTCTCATCTCAAGGTATTGAAAAAACAAACAGAAGCAAACCAATTATTATTTCAGAACTTGAAAAAAATCTCCAGAATTGGAGAACCAGGAGCATAGATGGAGCTGAAAAATAGGAAAACTGGCTCATTCAGGACATTGTGAGAGCTCCAAACCTTTCCTCCCTCTCACATAATGCACAGGTACCCTTCCTCAATCTCAGCAGAGTACTTAAGATTGCTTTAGAAGAAGCTGAGTTGATCATCTTCAGACTCAGACCTTAGGTGATGTCATATGAAATCAGAGAGATTAATTAAAGTCTATATATTACACATCGTGATGAGAACTACTTCCCTTCCACCCTACCAGTGTGCTCTTCCTCTTGGCTTCAAATCCATTGGGCATACGGCCTACCCTAGACCATCTCAAAAGAAAATATCCATTCTAGCAGCTCACAAATTCTACTAGCAAAAATGGCCAGGTCACAGCCTGATTGCTGAAGGTAAAGCCTACTAACCAATGGATCCCAATCTTGCATACGCATCAGTGTTCCACTCTTATCAATGGACAAGTAACAGAAAGTCATTACACATTTGACAGAGGTCTCTAGTATCCAAGACAGAGACCAAGGCAACCAGAAAACAATGCACTATGAGATTAAGTGCATTATAAAAGAAGAATCTGAAAAGTTCTAATTACAATCCTTAATCATTGCTCTCAGGAAACCAAGAGCAGCCTGCTATTTGTAAAACAAAAATAACATTAATAAAATAAGAAAATGCTCTCGGAACTTCAAAAATTCTATCATAAATGAAGAATTAATTAGAGGAGAGAATCTAGTTGAATCAATCATGCAAATGTGTAGAACAAAAAAGGCCGAGAAATGTATGTAGAAGAGAAACAGTTCAAAGGAGAGAATAAGAAATAGTAAGGATTAAAAACAAAGGGAATAAATAAATGGGGGAAATTAATCATAACAAAAGCTAGAAGTCCTAGAGTTGAGAGAGTTAAGGACCATGCACCTCCATGCTAAAAGCACACATCTGAGAATCTTTGATTATTTCTTTACACACACACACACACACACACACACACACACACACATACACACACACCAGGGTGTGCCAATAAGGTCTTTGAAGAAAGATCATTTCTCAACTCAGAGAAAGGGAAAATTAAAACATCATAAAGAAGAGATGTTTCTGGATTCTGACATGTAAATAACAAGAAAAAAATCCATGATTTTATAATATATATATCAGATAAATACCATCTATTTAATCTGTTATGCTTATTTTTTTAAACTTTTCCTATTTCCAAGAAATAGTAAACAAAAGACAATAGATAGTGTTCTAATTGAGACATTTAGGTACCTCCTATAATAACTAAATAAATGGAATTCTGCTATTGCAGAAATTTATTTTATTAACCTTTAAAAATAAACATTCAATGAGATTTGAAAGTGTCTATGTTCTTTGATTTCATTTAATGTTATTTTTAATTATGTGGCATTTGACTGTATTCCTTAGTTCGGCCCCGGAACTATAAAGTATTTACATATACTAACCTTGTGGAATTTTATGAAATCAAGTCATGAGAATTTGGGCTACCTGTAAATATGACCCAAACTCTTCAATGATTCCTCCTCATCATAATGGTCATACACTCACCTTGAGGATCAACTTCTTTTGCTAGCTTCAGTGCATCCGAGTTCGCAAGATCAGTGTTAGCTGGGGTGACAGCCAAAATCAGACAGTTCTCCCTTGTGATGAACTGCATAATCATATCTCTGATCTGATACTCAATATCTGGTGGCTGGTCTCCCACGGGCACTTTCGTTATTCCAGGTAAGTCGATTAGCGTTAGATTTAACACTGTGTGGGAAAGAATGGGAGAGTCATACAGATTCCTTCAGTTCAAAAGATACCCACAAGGTTGTCTAAAAGACATCCTAGGTGGCTGGCTGCATCATCTGCCACTTAGCTCAGCTTTACGTGTTGTGTATGTGAATGACTCCATCACAAGTGAGGAGAAGGAATAGCATTGAATACCAAATGGGTTTGCTAGTTTTCTCTATTTTTACATGACTGAGCTAAGCCAAATGATCATCTTAACATAATCTGAAAGGCATTGATTTATATGCCTACCAGTTTGCTGAGAGAGCTGTCATCCCCTGACTGTCATAACTACGCAGCTATAATTAAAACACTGAACAATACATGCATATGCTGTCTGCCAGTCTTGTGCATCGCCTTCAAGTGGTATGAAAATTCTCAGGGTAACAGTTGCCCTTCCTCTCTGAAAGCATCGTATGTTGTTCACAGAAGGTTAGCCACTTAGCCTGTGGGGAAGCTGAGGGCCATTCGCAGTGCTTTGAGTGGAGTGAGTGGGCTGTACACGCATCAGTGGCAAGGCGACTCCAGTTCAACTCAACTACTGTCTCCCAGGGGTAGGCATCAAGTCCCTAGGAATTTATTATGACTGTCTAGGGATAAAAGTAACACTTGGTTCCTCAGGAATAAAATAAACAGAAATACAAAATAATTACAGGGAGATCAACACGGGAGGACTCAACCACATACCTCTAAAAATTTTTGGCAAAGACTAAAGATAATAATAATAATAATAATAATAATAATAATAATAATAATGATAACAAAGTAAGTTTTCATGTGCCCATTTTCTGATTCCTGAGAGTTCATAATTTTTTTAAAAAGGAATTCTTCTCAATTCCCAAATCAATTACAATGTTATCACTCCCCTCCTGCCACTCTCTAAATAATTCTTTGAACTTCACCACCGGCAGCGTGACCCAAACATCCCAGAGACCCGCACTGTTTGCTTTATTCTCCAATGAATGTGAATTTGTCTAGTGAAAAATGCTTGAGAAGAATCTTTTGAATCTGAACATTGCACTTACCATGTGGAGAATAGACTCGGAGGTTGATGGGTATGGAGGAGATGCCTTTATTCATTCCCGTCACTCTGTCTGTTTCTGCTTCAATCTCATGGCGAACTTCATCAAAATCTGTAAATTTTTTCCCTTTGCAATGTAGAAACTCAGCATATTCTAAAACAAACAAAAAACAAAGATGCATGCATTTATGTCAGGATTACATCAAGGAAACAATCTTATTTAAGAACAAATCAAATTACCAATATTGTTCCTCAGCTATCAAAACAACACAGCAATTACCAAGACTGATGATTCTTTAAAAATATCAAATTTGCTAAGTTTCAGATAAGAATTAAGTCCTTAAGCCATCAAGCCTACCAAAGGATAAAAAGTAATTGTGGCTGCCTAAATGATAAAACAAAAAATAAATGGCACCCTGTTATTAAAGACTGTAGGTCTGGGGTGCATAGGCCTACCTACTAACACTGTACTGTTGACACCTCCTTTTGCAACATCACCATTTCATTAGGATGGAATGCTAGTTACACACTACATCTTCAGAAGCTAGGTAACTTGGAAACAGTTTTTGCTCAATTCTTTTTCAATGCAGTGTTTTAGATTTAGCAACATACTATTCAAAATATCACATCAACTTGTATAAGTAGAAATTTTCTCAAGAAAAAAATAGATGCAGTATTAGATCAAAAGTATTTGCCAACAGTCAAAAAATTACTATGTAGGCAGAAGAAATAATCCTAAAATAACTATATAAATAACAAAAAAAAAGTGGAGGGGTTGTTTGGTTGATTGGTTGGTTGGCATTTTGTTTTCTTTTATTCCCTTTCTTTTCTTTTTTTCTTTCTTTCTTTTTTTTTTTTTTTTTTTGAGGCAATATCTGGCTATATAGTCCAGGCTGGTCTGGAATTTGCTATATATCCCAGGTTGATCTCAAACTCCTGTCTTGACCTCCTAAGTAGTGGAATTACAGAGACATGCCATGGCCTCCCAGCCACTATACTATCAATTTTGATACCCACATCTATAGATATCTATGAAACCAAAACTTTACAATAGTCACAATAGTAAACAATTTGGGGCAGATATTTTTATTTCTCCAAGCTGAAGAACTGCTCTATCAAACATACAACAAGGATGAGCCTCTTGCTCCCAATGGATAGTTGAGAAAAGGACTGGCAGCCTTTCTACATTCCTCACTGTAGACAATGAAAATTCAACCAATAAAATCAGCCAAAGCCAAGGGGCACATTGTTTTAGAGTGCAGCCCCTCTGCACCAAGCACCTTAGCATTGACTTGAGGAGCCACAGATTAGATCACAAAGTTAACACAGGCTTCGTGGAGGAGGTACCGGTCAGCACTCTACATGCTAGGACATGCAGAGATAGAGAAGTGGAAAAGGATTAGAAATGGAGTAGGAAGAGAGGACTGAAGGGTGGGGAGAATTTCATGCCGTATGGGAAGAAAGAAGAAATCAGAATCTTAACTATGTCAACAAATCCCTGGCAGAAACCTCTGCTTGAGCCCATTCACTGATGACAAACTAAAGATTTGACCTCTGATTTGAGGGTTTAACAATCAGTTTTAATTGGAAAATAATTCTTTATGCTGACATAAAATCAGCTTCCTTATCTTGTTCCATTGTTTCGGCCATTGCCTCCTAGTGCTTCACAAACAAAGGACCAGGGATTAATCTGAGCGTCCACACGCAGAGGTCACCTCCTTCCTGGGACTCTCATCACCTGCCCTTGCTTCTCTGACCACTGTTCTAGTCTCCTACCAGCAGACAAGCATCTCCCAGCTCCACCCCGGCTATGGGAATGAAAAGGACAAAGACACCTGAAGTGGACTGGAGTCCTGCTTCAAGGCATCGATGTTCTGAAAGGACCTAGCTTTCCAAATGTCAGAGTGTGACAGTCACAGACTAGCAGAATTGCCATCTTTCCTATCAAGATGTAGAGCCAAGATTTCTCTCTTCTTCTTAGGTTCTCCACATAATAACCAGTCCCACTCTCTGCAGCATCCTGAGCTAACTCTGACAGCTCATCCTTTTGATGCTGGTGTACACACAGTATTATTAGTTCATCAGGCTTCAGGGATCTGCCCTAGAGAGATCACCTCAATACCTGGCCTGATTTTCCTAGTTTTACTCTACTACCTGCCTTTGGTATCAGAATATAATTCATCAGAATGGGTCTTCATTTCATTATCCATGCAACTTGGAGGAATGTGAGGATTCAATGTGCAGAAAAAGGAAAAGAAAAAGAAAGAAAAGAAAATTGGATCTCAAAAAAAAAAATAAAAATTAATAATAGAAAGGGCTCAGGATCTAGTGCAATGATGTATAGATGTTGAGCACAGGCAAGTTGATCCCCAAACACAGTAGAGAGGTGGGGAGGAAGTAAGCTAAAAGAAATAAAACTTTATTTCCAGGTCAACATCATCTACTGAAAATGACTGGTTGAGTGCTTGGCCCTAAATGGGAAAACTGAGTCACACTCACTAAGACCAAGGGGGAAGGAAAGCTGGAGGACTGGGAAGTTCTTAAATACCACTCTCTTCTGGATATGACATGGCTGGGGGAATCATGAAACAGCAGCGTGGCGGCTGCATGAGACCTATGTGTAGAAATACGACATGAAACACAGGGAGTAGTTGAGAAGAACGGTGTCTTTAGGGGTGTGAGGGGACAAAAGAGAGCAAAGGGGATTGAATGTGTTTATAATACACTATGTAACTGTGTCAAATTGTCAGCATTCAATTAATAAAAATTTAATGACAAAAAATTCAGTAGCACGAATTGGGGTTTCCTTTGCTGCCACTAGATGGCACCTACTTGCTGTCTCTGCAGGGACCTCACTGATGTCCTTCAGGAAGGTTGTAAAGCCAATGAGATTTAAATTAGCTCCTGGACTCCTGGAACTTGGAGAGTCTATGTGTGCAGGATCATCGGAAACCTCTATGTCTCACAAATGGATTCGGAGTTGTCTTTATTTACTTAGTTATTTGACGAATCTTCATCAAAATCTACTTGTAGAAACTAGGATTTAATAGAGGGAAAGAGAAGTCTGGTGGCTCACAAAGTTGATATCTAATGAAGTTACATAGTAACAATGAGCACATGCCCGATGATAAGGGTTGCAGCGACAATAAAATGACAGGGGTACTAGATATTGGGTGGGGGGAGATTCTGGAGTCATGTTTTGTTTGTTTGAGTAAGGCTTCTTTGATGTAATAAAAAGAAAAAGAAAGTCTCTGAACAAAGACTGAAGAGGAAGGAGCAGGTATCTCTGTGTATAAGAGCATGGGGACAGAGTGCCTGGAGGCAGAGCATCCTGGGCTTGAGGAGGAGGAATGAGAAGACCAATGTGGCCGAGACAGGGACAGGTTGGAGGATGGAGAGCCATTTTAAGTATTTCTGTTCTCACCCCAAGTAAAACGGTAGACTACAGAGGGAGGGGGTTAGGAAGAAAACATAATGTGATTGAAATGATTATTAACACTGGCTACTGTGTTGGGACAGATAATTGGGGATCTAGAGGAAGCTAATGCTAGAATAATCCAAGTCATAGTTGAAGGGGCTTGGAGTAGAGGCACCCAAGTGAAGTGCTGAGAAATGGGTGAATTCTAATATACTTAGAAGGAAAAATAAACAGGATCTACTGATGGGTTTAAGGGGGGCTGTGGGGGGAAAGGTGCTGACAGTAGCTTCATAGGATTAAACCTCAGTAATCAGAATCGTTCTGAAGTAGAGGAGACTAAAAGGAAGAGGTTGTGGTGGGATGAGGAAGGGGGCAGGAATCGGGATTTTGGGTGGGGACTCACTGAGCTGTACACCCATCCCAGCACAGAGTCTCTCACCTACACACACACACCAAATGCTGGCTGTTTAATCTAGTGTATGTCGACTCTGCTAACTTCCCAGAAGATGGCAGTCAAGTGCTTGCAGGGGGGAAAACGTGGCTTTTTCTAATGAGCACAGAAATACCTCTGGGGCTACGTTCCTGGAGTCTTTCACGCAGGGAGAAGTCTGAGCTGGATAAATAGATATTTGGAAGTCGTAACATTCAGGCAGGCAGTGGGAGAGTTAGGAAAGGCTCAGAGCGCTGGGCCTAGGTGCGGTAATCAGGAAACGAGGTGGAGTGGTCAGAGAAAACCCTGGAGAGGCGAGCTCAAGTCCAGTAAGGAGTATGTCCTGAAGGAAGTAGATCTTCCACTCAGCCCTTCAGAGAGTCGGTAAGTGGAGAAAGGTAAGGAAGAAAGGATGGTGGGATTAGGATCATAGGAAACTGAGAAGCCAGTCAATAATAGAGACCGATGATCAGCAACGCTTTTAAGGAGTTTTGTCGTAAGAGAGAGAGAGAGAGAGAGAGAGAGAGAGAGAGAGAGAGAGAGAGAGAGAGAGAGAGAGACCTGGCATGTGAAGTCAAGAGAGCTCCTTGTAATACAAGCAAACTCACAGCGTGTAAGTCAGCATTACAGGAGAGGTGACAATGTAAGAGTGCGAGGTGACAGACAGTGAAGCCATGTCTTAGGGAGAAGACAACTGGAGGCCAGGAAGAAAAAGACAAACCCTCCAGCACATCTGTGAAAGAACCAGAAGAGGCTGGAGTGACAGTGATGGGAGGGTGTGACACCCACCGGGAGGGTGAGAACTTGTCATACTTGTCTGAAGTCAATGGCTTTAAAAACATTCCCGGGGCCAGCAATAAGGCTCAGTGCCACCAAGGCTGACAACCTGAGTTTGATCCTGGAATTCACATGGGAGAAGGAGAGAACCTACTCCCACAAATTATCCTCTGACCTACACACACACACACACACACACACACACACTAAATAAATAAATGTTAAAATATTTTTTTTCCTTTTTAATGGACTAGAGAGATGGCTCAATGGTTAAGAACACATACTGCTCTTGCAGAGGACCAGGGTTCAATTCCCAGCATACACACGGCAACTCAACTATCTGTAACTACAGTTGCAAGGGATATAGCACCCTCTTCTTGCATTAACATGCATTGATGTTGTACATACATACATACATGCAAAGAATAAAAATAAATCTTAAATATTAAATAAACTAAATTTAAAAAATAAATAATTCTACATATGTTTTCATTGGTTATTGTTTGTACAATAATAGTATTTCTACAAC